TACCTTCATGGTAAGGAGAGCCTGGTGCATAGAATCCTGTTATTACTGCTACATTTTGGAATCCTGTGAATGTTCTATTGGGGCAACACATAAGATGTGCTGACAACCAGGATGGATATCCCAGGAGAGCCCGCTGCTGGTCTTCTGTTTCAGTATAACAAATGCGCTGCCTGACCACCTTAATTGGGGTCAATTACCTTTTGTGAGTGTGAAATTTATTTATTTCGTCTGCATGTGGTGAAAGAGTACACCTTTTTGGTTCACAGCAACATACTTCTATGGGACTGTTACTATACACATCATGACTGTTTTATTATCACTTATATCAATGTTGGATGTATGTTATTGGCTAGATGCTATAGGAATATGTATTATCACATCTGATTTGTTATTGGTATCCATTATAAGTTATTGAGAGATGGTTTACTTCTGCATTTTTAACATTGCTGCACGGTTGGTTTTGCACCACCCTACCTTCTCCCCTTTCACCTTGCACTTTGTGTCTTTGTTTCATTTCCTGTTCTACACTGCCTCACACCTCTACTTTACTGATGCCTTTGTCTCTATTGTGCATTTGCTATCAATTTGTGTCTGATTAATTTGCTTCTCTCTCGCATTGTTATCTTTACATTTCTTGCTCTCTTGCATTCATAGCCATTTACTCAGTCTCTACTGTTCAATTGTTTGTTGCAACTCCCTGCATTCATTTGCCCTTGGTCTGCTGGTATCAGTGAGGCTAACTAAAAGGCTGCAGCTCGGGAGTGTCATGCACCTTGAATCCGGCCTCATCATTTGTGGTTCAGGTGAAAACCATGCAATTCCAGGTCCTATCTTTCTTGGTATGACCTTTACCACTTGCTGGCAACACTATTTTCTACATTTAACCACTTGAGCTCCAGAGGATTTACCCCCCTTAATGACCAGGCCTCTTTTTGCTACTCGGCGCTGCACTAATTCAACTGATAATTGCGCGGTCATGCAATGCTGCACCCAAACAAAATTTACGTCCTTTTTTTCACACAAATAGAGTTTCTTTTGGTGGTATTTGATCACCTGTGCGCTTTTTATTTTTCACGCTATAAACAAAAAAAGGCCAAAAATTTTGAAGAAAAACAATATTTTTTACTTTCAGCTATAAAAAATATACAGTAAACTCAAAGTTAGTTATAAATTTAGGCCAAAATGTATTCTGCTCCATGTTTTTGGTAAAAAAAATCCCAATAAGTGTATATTGATTGCTTTGTGTGACAGTTATAACGTCTACAAACTATGGTATAGATACTGCAATTTACGCCATTTTTCTGCTATACAGCGCTGCGCTAGTTTAACGGACAATTGCGCAGTCATGCAATACGGTACATAAATGAAATTTACATCCTTTTTTTCCCCACAAATTCAGCTTTCTTTCGGTGGTATTTGATCGCCTGTGCGGTTTTTATTTTTTGCGCTATAAAAAAAAAGGCTGACAATTTTGAGGAAAAAAAAACAATATTTTGGACTTTTTGCTATAAAACATGTCCAGTAAAAAAAAAATGCAAAAATCAAATTTAGTCATAAATTTCTGCCAAAATGCATTCTGCGACATGTCTTTGCTAAAAAAAAACCCAATACGTGTAAATTAATTGGTTTACGTGAAAGTTATAGCGTTTACAAATGGCGGGAAAGATACTGGAATTTTTAATTTTTATTTATACTAATAATGGCGCCGATCAGCGACATATGGCGGCAATCAGCGACATATGACGGCGACCAGCGACTTATGGCGGGACTGCGGGACTGAGGCGGACATTTTGACACTGGGGGGGAGCTGACTTGGGGTCGCTGACATCCCCAGTGACACCAATACAGTGATCAGTGAAAAAAAACCAGTGAAACTGTATTAATGTCACTGGGGAGGAAGGGGTTAACATTTTTAGTGTTCACTGTGTGAGGGGAGTGTTTTACTAAGGGGGCGGGGGTGTGTGCTGCTGGACGGGGGGGAGGGAGGGGGGAGCTGATCGAGGGAGAGAAAACTGTATTCTCCCTCTGCAGCTTGGCGGCGAACTGTCACAGAGCAGGCTGTGTGTAAACAATGCAGCCCTGCTCTGTTTCAGTGTTCACCGCTCATCGCGGGAAAAAACGGCCGGTAAAAACCGGCCGTGACCCGGCAGCGGGGACCCACTGCTGACACCCGTGGGACAGGTAGGGCGGGCGCGCGCCCCCTGCCTGTTTTGTAGGCACACGTTTTAAAACGTGCTTTTTTCCTACGAGCGCCGCCCTGCCACCGTTTATATGCGGTGGCTGGGCGGCATGTGGTTAAGAAAGAAAATTGTGCTGCGCTGCTGCGAACACTTCTCAATCATGTGTAGTAAAAACAATATTATCACTTGATGTGCACCACCTGAGGTGAGGGTCCAACCTAGACACATGAGTGTGGTGGTGCACATCAAGTGATTATTTACAGCACTTGGGAAGTGAGTTTACTCACCAGAAGGATCACGATTTTGAGTTCAGTTATTTATTGGAAGATTTACTTTGCACTTTGGTCTATGATTGACAAGTGTCAGACTGTATAAATATGGATTCATGCATGATTAGATTTGCACTAATGTATTTTGTATATGCATGGTGATCATATTGTTTATACTACACATGATTGAGAAGTACTAGCAGCAGCGCAACACAGTTTTCTTTCTTATATTGTTTATTTGTGATGAACAACCACATATAGTGATTGCAGGAGCTGGGTATATTATTTACTTTTTTTTTTTTCCACTAATTCGGCAACGCACAAATTATTTTGAGTTTGTTTCATGTTTTCTAAATTTTTCTGCCCTTCAGCTTAGCCTTTCTAGTAGCCTATAGTTGCTGGTCATATTTTTGCCTACAATTTCCCTGCCCCTGTCTTAACCAAGACACAATACTTCAAAAACTAACTGGTGAAGGTATAACAGAACTTCTACATCTCTGTCCTTTTTCAGGGTTTCTTTTTAAGGTACGTTTTACAGAATGTGCTAGTATGTGATGCATGCTAGCACATTATGACATTACCCTTTTTTTTTTCTTTCTTGCAGTTTACTACCGCTTTAAGGATAGTGTTCATATGAAGCCATTTATTATCATATAGTTATTTGGCTCCTTTTTAAATCATAATGATAACAGAAATATGGCCCTGATCAAAAGTTTACATACCCTGGAATGTTTGGCCTTAGTACAGAGACACACAAGGTGACACATATAGGTTAAAATGGCAATGAAAGGTTAATTTCCCACATCTGCAGCTTTTTAAATTGCAATTAGTGTCTGTGTATAAATAGGCAATGAGTTTGTTAGCTCTCACCTAAATGCAATTAGCCAGCTATATACTGAGCCATGGGGATCAGAAAAGAATTGCCAAAGACCTGTTTAACAAGGTAATGGGACTTTATAAAAAGATGAAAAAGGATATAAAAAGATTTCCAAAACCTTGAATATACCAGTCAGTTCACGCACTTATTAGGAAGTGGAAAATTTAGGGATCTCGATACCAAGCCAAGGTCAGGTAGGCCAAAAAAAGATTGCAGCCACCACTGCCAGAAGAATTGTTGGGATACAAAGAAAACCCCACAGGTAACTTCAAGAGAAACAGACTGCTCTGGAAAAAAGACGGTGTAATTGTTTCAAAGAGCACAATACAATGATACGTGAACAAAAATTAGCTGCTTGGTCGAGAAGCCTTTACTGCACCAATGCCCCAAAAAAGCCTGGTTACAATATGCTCAACAATACCTTGACATGCCTCACAGCTTCTGGCACACTGTAATCTGGAACAAGACCAAAGTAGAGCTTTATGGTCAAAGCCATAAGCGCTATGTTTGAAGAGGGGTGAACAAGACCTACAGCGACTAGAGTACCATCCCCAATCTGAAATATGGTGAAGGCTCACTGATGTTTTGGGGTGTGTGAGCTCTAAAGGCACAGGGAATCTTGTTAAAATTGATGGCAAGATGAATGCAGCATGTTGTCAGAAAATACTGGCAGGCAATTTGCATTCTTCTGCATGAAAGCTGTGCATGGGATGCTCTTGGACTTCCCAGAAAGACAATGACCAAGCACAAAGCCAAGTTGACCCTCCAGTGGTTACAGCAGACTGTGGAGGCATGTTGCCAAGACGAATAGGCAGCTATATCTCCTGCAAGAATTTGGGACCTTTTACAAAAGACTACACGCTGCCATTAATGCTAAAGGGGGCAATACACAGTATAAAGAACTAAGGGTGTGCAGACTTTTGAACAGAGGTCATTTCATATGTTTACTTGTTGCCATGTTTTGTTTTAGCATTGTGCCATTCTGTTATGACCTACAGTTTACTATGAATCCCATAAAGATAAAAAAAAAATGTGTTTTGCCTGCTCAACAATATTTTTTTTTAAAAATGGTACTGTATATTACCAATTCTCCAAGAGTATGCAAACTTTTGAGCACAACTGTGTATCTGAAGTCAGAATCTTTTTTTTTTTGTTTTGAATAAAAGTAATGGCTACAACCCCTTCCGTTTTTGCTGTGTCCCAAGATTTTCCTTTACTTCAAGTCTCGTAAACACCACAGGAAATAAGAGGGAATCTCAATAAAGTAGAAAAAAAACTCTCTTAGACAGCAGTTGCTTGAACAAATACACTCTTTGAAAGATTTCCCCCATTCCTATTCCTGGTGAGAATCAAAATCACTGAGAGAGGGGGGAAATCTCCCTAGTGAGGACATAGATATGAATAAACATCTACCAGAGGTTCTAATCTTTCAATACTCTATACAAAATTTGCTTCATATTTTGTATTTTATATGTTTCTAAAAATACCAGAACAAAAATGTAGCTGATTCAACGTAATGAGGTAATCTGTGATTTGCTACTATATAGATAATACACAGCTAAAGTCAATTTCCTATCAATGAGGTCACTCAACAACTATGACACGTTTCGCATGGTTCAGTGTCTGATAGGAATATCATCCAAAGAAGTAAGAACTTGTATCTGTGGTCCTTACCTGATAATGTGCCTGAGCTTGCTGTGCTGAATTCAGGGTGACATTACATAGCTTACAAGAAAGAGGTTTACACAGTTCTTCCAAGGACGGATCTTGCTCCACATTATCATCCTTCAGGACTTCCAAGGAAGGTGGCTGAGCTGCGAAGGCTATTCGTTTTGGTGAATGAGGCTGTGTAGGTAGGACTACTGGCCTTTTGCCCATTGCAATGGCAGAGGGAAAATCAGGTTGTTCAGGATGAGGAGGAGGCCTGGCATGTTGCAGCACAATCATCTGCCCAGTTCTGTGTGATGGCAAAAGTGAAAAGAGGATGGCTCACGCCGTCTTGATGCCTCTGATGTTCTGAAGAGCGCTTTTTGGGGGAAAAAAAAGAAACATGGTCACTTCATGACAAGCCACATATAGCCAGATGTAGCCATGTGCTATTTCACTAAAGAATCTAAGGCAATCTACAGCATGACATGGTGATCAGGATATCAAACAACCAAAAGGTAATTCTTATGAAACATATTTACATGTATGACCGGTTCAACTGAACATGCAAGCTTATGCACTGAACAGACAACCTTTATCTGGGGAAAACAATGATTGTCTGGGAAAATACATATCAAATCATTTATTCCCTTCAGATCCTTTAACTAGGAAACTTTACAGAAATATTCATTTACCTCTTGTGCCTACCTTTCTAGATTGTATGCTCATTAGACCCCTCTCTGCTATTGTTTTTTGTTACTGTTATGATTTGCTATTGTTTTTTGTTACTGTTATGATTTGCTAAACTGTAATTACTTGGTTTCTTGCAAGTTGAACATTGTATGTATTATATTACCTGCACTACTGACCCTTGTTATGCCTATTCATTCGTACAGTACCACAGGAGATAATGAGTATATACATACATTATTAATAATAGTCAGTCAATGAATATCTTTCAGCTTTTAGATCTCCCAAATGTCATGTCTATGGATAGCGTTAAGAAAAAAAATGTAATACAGAATTTTAAAAAATACACATATTAAACCAAGAAAACAAAATGCCCTCTTCAAATACCCAACTGACAGTTAGAACACTGGCCCACAGACTCTGTGAATCATCATCAGATCCAGAATTAGCTAAAATCATACAAGCACTTGAGTTACTAAAGGCGAATAGGCGTTTCACTTTGCAGGGAAATTTTCACTTTGTAAGTGCATTTTCCACTAGCTTGGTGAATGGGGTGAAGCTCTGCTGACTCCCATCATCAATCATGCTCAAGAAAAAATATGTTATTCCTTGCAGATGATTGGGTATTCCTTTGCAAAGTCTACTTGCCTTTAGCAAATCAAATTTTTTTTTATTTTTCTGAAAGACTATCCAGAGACAATACAACGCAATGCAAACACTGAGTTTGTATAGCAAATAAAGAAAGTGTAGAGGCTGCTTATAAGATCTGCTGAAAGTTGCAATAAATTTTATTTTGGAAGTGTAACAAGTAGAGGGACTTGTAGCTCATTGGTAGTACAACACAGTGAGCTTACTCCATGTCAGAGGTACTTTTCAGGGCTTTTTCTGCCCACTTTTACTTAAAACAAATGAAAGTTCACATCAAACAGATTCCCACGCAGGGTTTTCCACCACTGAACGAAAATGAACAGCAATCAGCCTCATGGCTCTCTTCCCAGCTCTACTGCTTAGACCTCATGTCTTGGTCCTCCAGACCATAGAACACACAAATATGCACAAAACACTGCACTTTTCTCAACTTGACTTTGTTTCCTGCAGCTCCTTGCTGCTACATCCTTCACAGATTCATGCCTTTGACTGTCATGTCCTGGACAGCATGGTGAAGACATGGGCCTCTCTGCTCCCTTACAATCACTGACACCTTTGGGAAGGTGGGGCCCTGACCTCTAATAGGTATCCAGCCCACACCTGCATCATCAGTGTGCCTGCTTTTTGCCAAAACTTGGCCTAGACTGCCATTTTACACTGTGGCATGGCTTCCCCCTGCCACAGTAAACAGCAGTCGTTCTGTACAAGTCTAAGAATACTGTATTCATGTTCTTCTAAGTATGTTGAACCTCTATGAATCTAAATCAGCATTTCTAAAACTGTGGTTTGCAAACAAAGGCAGCCTTAACCAAGTTGTCTGTAGCTATCTTCCTATGTGCTGCTGAAGGATGTGCTGTCATGGTGGGAATAGGTGACATCAGCTGCTGAAAAGACTCTTCCTTGATTATTTAACAACTTCAAGTCCGGACACTTTCACCCCCTTCCTGTCCAGGCCAATTTTCAGCTTTCAGTACTATCACACTTTGAATGACTAATGACCGGTCATGCAACACTGTATCCATATGAATTTTTAGCATGCTTTGAAACAGATAAAAAACTTTATTTTGGTGGTATTTATTCACCACTGGGATTTTTATTTTTTGATATATAAATGAAAAAGTCCAAACATTTTATCTTATAAACTTTTGCAAAAAAAAGAAATCTTTCTTCATAAATCTTGGCCAAAATGTATTCAGTTATCTTTTTAGTAAAAAAAATAAAATAAATAACCCAAATTAATTTATAACCAAAAATGATAATTTTTCAATTTTTTTTTTACATTTTTATATTATTTATGTTTTTTTTAACAAACTATCACCCTAGCAGTACAGTGTCACCATAGTGACACTGTACTTGTTGGGGGTGAAGATTTTTTTTTCTTTTTTTACACTGATTGCTTTTACACCCATAAAGGCTGTAAAAGCAATAATTTCTCCTTCTCTCTGGCTGCATTTTTGCAGCCACTGAGAAATACTGTGAGAGCTGTGTTTGGAAGAGAGCTGTGATCAGAAAGTGGCATCTTGCTTACTACTATTCATGAGATCACTGATTGGCCAATCAGGGATTACATGAATCGGGACCTGACACAGAGGTCACATACAGCGATCGGTGTTCCGCTGTGTCCGTATTTGTCAGTAGTTAGGGCACTCTCTAACCAAGAACAAAGCTCATGATTACACAGCAGTGCGGTACCATAATTCCAGAAGGCTAATTTAATCTGGACAAAAAAAGAATGCCAAAAGTACAGAACATAGATTTGTTCAGAGGTGGTCTGCACTGAAGTAAGCTTCTGGAGAGACACTATTTGATAAAAAAATTGAACATAGTCACCACTGCTGCCCACCAAGCCCTGTCTATAGACAAGTTAGACCCTAGTCACTATCTTCTATAGATCGGAGGTGAAGGAAGTAGGCCTGTCAATAATTTCACCAGAAGCACATGTTATAGACATGGCCATGGACAAAGAATTTACAAGATGAAGAACTATACCAGGCAAAAGCTGTCAAGTACATCTTAGCTCTTCAGTTGGAGGACCTGTCCTATTTAGGACATCATTCTCTACCTACTAACCTCCCTCTACCTAGCAAAGCCTCTCTTTTTCTTGCTACAAACTGGTAGCAGCCTCTTTAATAAAGGTTAATGTAAGAAATGGACGCTCCATTTTCTTGAACAGGTACCCGCTCTGGTGGCTTCAAGTGCATATTCAACACATCACAAGATACATACACTTTTATACATGGTGTATAAACAGGAAGCTATTCTTTCAAAATATTACAATATTGCTATACAGCATATACTTTTGACAGATTAGTCAGATTCTCTGTTAACATGGAAAAGGCCTTCTTTCAATTCCTAAACATTGAGCTCTTTAAATGAGCTAAACAGTTGCCATGGTTACATGAAGAGTGTCCATAGATCAGCAGGGGACCTTCTCTTTTCTTTCTCAGTCTGTTCTTGAGGTCAGTTTCATTTTAGCAAAAGATACACGAAGGTCCCCTGTGCAATCAGACTCATCTTTTGATATCATATATAATTAAATGGACTTGTATAGTCATAGCATACCTCCAGGCACTTCAGAACAGTCCACCCCTAATATATTAAGAACATTTAGAAGGAAAAACTATTCCACACACTTCATGAAAATTATTTCAACAAGTCTACATGCTTTTTCTTAGAAACCATCAAATAGCAAAGATTGTGAGCTTTAAATGTTTTGTACAATGTTTTTTTGAAGAAATGTAATCATCTACAGCAGCCTTTTCCAAAACACAGAGGAACCCTTGAAAAAGCTTTCTGTTCTGGAACCCCTGCTAAACAGTACTGTATCTACAGGTCATGATATATTAGTTTGATGGTCAGTGGGAAGAATGCTCCTTACACTTCTGATCATTGGGAAGAATTACCTCCTTACAGATAACTAAAAAGAACAGTGGTGTCAGTGGGAACTTATCTGAGAGGGAGAAATTGCTCATTGCTCAATGAACCCCTAGCTACCTGTGAAGGAAGCCTAGTTGAGAAACCCTGATCTACTGGGTTCTTTTTAACTTCTATGTACACAGGAGTCATCAGAAAGTTGATGTCATATCAGCAACATTACATCACAGTCTGTAAAAATTTGGGTGACCTCTGACTCCTGACACTCAAACTAAGGTGTCAGGGGTTATACGATGCAAGTAAAGCCACATAATCTTACATAAATAAACTTAACAAAATTACACTTATGGCTGGATTTTCAAAGTTGAATTGTACCCGGTTCCATTTAAAGCTAATAAAATGATTTTTGTTCTGTATAATAGCGGATATATAGGGTCATAGGTCTGCTTCATATCTCAAAAATTCCAGTGGTGATATAGTGTGTTGTAAATGTGCTAAAAAGTGAGTGTAATTTCCCCAACAATAACACTTAAGCCTAGTACACACAATCAGAAAATCGTACAAAAAATACTGCTTTCGAATCGATCGCACGATAATCTGATCATTAGTACACATCTTTCATCTGAAATTAATCAAAAGGGACAAGCACGAAAATTAATTTTTAATTAAATCATACAATTTTCATTCAAAAATACAATACATCCAAATTTTTATTCTGTCGCACAAGAATTTTCTTAACCCTAGTAACCTCTTCACTTTCGATAGAAGACTAACATGCAAAAAAACCCCAAAAAGTGAATGATCATTTGGTCTGATATTCCCATCGTACAGTTGCAAGAAAAAGTATGTGAACCCCTTGGGATTACGTGGAGTTTTGCATGAATTGGGCATAAAATGTGCTCTGAACGTCATCTAAGTCACAACAATAGAAGAACACAGTCTGCTGAACATAATACTACACAAACATTAGATGTTGCCATGGTTTAATTGCACATAACATGTAAACATTCACAGTGCAGGGAGGAAAAAGTATGTGAACCTTTGGACTTAATAACTGGTTGACCCTCCTTTGGCAGCAATAACCTCAA